AAACAAAGAAACTGGTCTTGTTAATCTAATGGTTATTTGTGGGAGGTATGTGAGATTCTATGAGAGAGAGTGTGTATGTGTGTTTGAGTAAGTATGAGTAAACGTGAGCCATTCGGCTTACTTAATTGCTCTGTTTGGGGTTAATAATACAGCGAGTGGGCATTTCATAGTTTAATATCTATAAGTTTATGACCTACCAAAAGTTTAGATAAAACATGTGACTGCCTGGGTTCAAATCTTGGCTCTGACATTTTAGGCTGTGTAATGGGGGATTAAGAATAGTTTTGAGGATTAAATGCCTTAGGGGCTGGCCCCGTGGCTTAGCGGTTAAGTGCGCGCGCTCCGCTACTGGCCGCACGGGGTTCGGATCCCGGGCGTGCACTGACACACGGCTTCTCTGGCCATGCTGAGGCCACGTCCCACATACAGCAACTAGAAGGATGTGCAGCTGTGACATACAACGATCTACTGGGGCTTTGGGGAAAAAAAAAAGGAGGAGGATTGGCAATAGATGTTAGCTCAGAGCCGGTCTTCCTCAGCAAAAAGAGGAGGATTAGCACGGATGTTAGCTCAGGGCTGATCTTCCTCACACAAAAAAAAAAGGCTTAAAAAAAAAATGAGTTAGTATTTGTAAAGTTCTTAGTGTTCGGCAGTACCATACAAGTATAAAATAAAGCAAATTGTGCCACTGGTGACATGCATAGGTTTTCTTTGCTCCATCGGTCAGCATCCCAGTTCAGTGGCACCAGGTTGTCTCTGTGTTAGGTGAGGCTCCCAGGTTTCCAAGGCTAACTGCAGACAGAGCTTTCTTTTTTTCCTATTTTGTCATTTTTTAATTATTAATTTTTATCAAGGTAATGTACTTTATCCATCAAATGCTACTATAATGGGAAAAAAAAGCTATCCCCAGTCTACCCCCTCACATCCCATCCTGCTCTCCAGAGGCAGCTGCTTCCAACTCTTCTAGCTGTTTCTTCTAGGATTGACCTCCATATTTTAAAACCATAAGCTTAACAGCTATTTTAAAAATTGGTGGTCTTTTAAGGAGGTATAACATACTTTCAGTAAAATATATGCATCTTAATCTTTACTTATGGTACATCTCGAATGTTTACATATGTTACATATGTATACACCTGTGTTCACAGAGCCCAAATCAAGATAGAAAAGATTTCCAGCTCCCCAGGGGCTCCCTTTGCCCCTTCCTAGCCAGAACCCTCCCAGCATCACTCACCTATCGCCTTAGATCAGGGTTTCTCAACCTAGCACTACTGATATTTGTAGGGGCTATCCTGTGCACTGTAGGATGGTTAGCAGCATCCTTGCCCTTTACTCATCTGTCTAGGCGGGATAATGTTCCCCCATCCTCAAAGATATCCACGCCCTAATCCCTGAAACCTGTGAATATGTGTGTTACACGGTAAGGGAGGATTAAGATAGCAGATGAAATTAAGGTTGCTAATCAGCTGACCTTAATACAAGCAGATTAGCCTGAATTGTCCAGGTGGGCCCAATGTAATCACAAGATTCTTTGTGGAAGAGGGAGGCAAAGTCAGAGAAGGAGATATGACAATGGAAACAGAGGCTGGAGTGATGCACTTGGAAAGGCCACAAACCACGGAATTTAGGCAGCCTCTAGAAGTGGAAAAGGTAAAGAAATGGATGCTCCCCTAGAGCTTCCAGAAGGAACAGCCCTCCTGACACCTTGATTTTAGCCTAGTGAGATCCATTTTGGACTTCTGAACAGAGTTTTCTGGGTGATTCACCATGTTTTTTTTATTTGGAACTTGAAATTAAAAATTATTTAAGTAAATTATTCCCTGTTCTGGGCCAACAGCAGCTTAGGGAATTTCACCTAGAATAGGTTGTTTCCTTCCTATTTGATCACACAGCTCCCTCTATTCCTCTTTTGTAAAACATTTGCAATAGTTTGTTTAGTATGTCTTCCTAGCCAGATATCAGGCTCTGTGAGGACAGCAACCCTGTGTGTTGCTCAAACTCAAGCACCAAGCACAGGGCCTGCACATGGCAGACATTTGCAGAAGTGAATTACATTGAATTGCATGAAGCACCTTAGGTGAAGCGTTTTTCACTTTCACCCACAACCTTGTGTCGCGGTGACTGCTGAGTTGTGTGTATCAAACTCAATGTGTCTGGCCATTGCAGCACAGCCAGTGCAGCCATAGCTATTTTATTTGATGCAGCTTCCTGTCCCAGGAAGCATGCCCCATGTGTCTCACCCTCTCCCCCACCCAACCAAGTGCATGAGATGCATGATCCACAGGCTCAAACTCCATCTGGAGATGCCCAGAACTGATTAGGAACTCGGACAAAACTGATAAGGCATTCTCAGTCACCTATGACTCTATGGCATGGACTTTTTCCCAGGAGCTGTGGGCTTGGTTATAATGGCAACTACCTAACAGGTATCTATTTTCCCCTGTGCTTAAAGAGAAATTTGGAAAATAAGAAAGCTCTTTTATTTTCTTTTCTTTTAAATGGAGATGAATATGTATCCAACGTTTCAAGACTTCCTGGAGACTTATAATTTAGTCAGTTTCAGAAGGCATAGATAGTCATGATTCCAGAAGACTTTGTGTTCCATCTTTAGGGGAAATTGCCATCTCTGCAATGAATCCCATTTCAGCTGCCGGGCTAGGCTGGCCACCTAGAGGAACAATTTTGATAAGAGAGGATACCTGCCCATTCTTCCTTTCTCCCTGGTTCATTCGGTTCAGTATTCAAAGGAAGTCTCAAGATCTAGGGACATTTTCTTCTAGTAGAACAAGGGCTCCAAATGGCATGGCAAAAGTGTCTGTGTGTTAGATAGAGGAATGATGGTCTGGGGAAAAGTTGGGCGGACCTAGTGGGTATGGCACAGCTGGTGGGCAGTTCCCCTCCTAGAGTGGTACAGTGTACAACCTGCACAACATATGGGGCAGCTCAGGAAGCATGATAAGGGGGAATAGGTTATAGGGGGGACTCTGAGTCTTGGGTGGAAGTTGTTCCTGACAGGGATAAGGAAAAGAGAAGATTGAGAGAAAAGTTAATAATTGGGAAAGGGTATGCTGAATGTGAAATGAAGTTAATGGCAGACTTGCAAAACTGATGAGCCCCTGTGTTCCAATGGAGTGTCAGTGTGATGTGACTCAGCAAATTCATTTTACCAAGGGCTCATAGGGGAATGGAGGGGAATGGGCAGGTATCCTTCCTTATCGAAATTGTCCTTCTAGGTGGCCAACCTAGCCTGGCAACTGAAATAGGGCTCATTGCAGAGATGGCAAAGATTGCCGCCTTAAAAACTTTGTGGGGAGATGAGATGACGGCTGCCAAAACTGGAAGGGATAAAGAGCTCTTTGATGGCAGGAAATATGCTTTTGACTATGTTTGCACACATGTCATAGTAACGTGCCTAGTAGTATTTATTTACTAAATCAACGTCAAATTGAGGATTAAACTGGAGTTGGCATGAGTCTGTTCAGTTGTTCCTAGGAGCAGGAGACGCAGCAGAGAGCTGACAGTACAGAGACTCTGATGGCCTCATGCTGGAAAGTTAGTGGGATGTGGGTTTATTTGTAACGCTTAAGCAGCATAGAGGTTTAGAAACCAGATTAAGAACTGACAAGGAGATCGAGGATATTTGGCATTTAGTGCCCTAAAGTAGGAGTTCAGAGCTGTTCTTAAAAGGCCAAATACACATAGATACAAATACATATCCTTCTAGACTTTCATACATTCCGTGAAGAGTTGGTGTAATCTTCTGTTTAAAAGAATTGAAGAACAATAGTAACAAATAAAATTTTGAAATGACAGCAACATAACCTGATATTATTAGGATGATTGAACACACAACTAGTCTGTAATCATATTTGCTGGTTACACCTCTGAAAAGTAATTTTCTGCTATAATCAAATTTCGTTTTAATTCTATTTTAATAAAATAAAGTTCTGCCTCATGTCTCATTTAGACTTACTAGAATAGATAGAATGGATTTTTCACTCCAGAAATGAGTAGATTAATGATGCCATCATTATAAAAAATGTTTGCATAATTGGAGAGCTATTTTGAGGGGAGGTAAAATGATCAGTTTATTAAGATATTATTTCATGTTTTATATTTATAGGGTATGCTGCTATACTCAAGGTAGCACTTTTAAAGTTAAAAAATGAAGTTTAAAAATATATTTATTTTGTATTTATATTGATATATTTATGTATGTAATATTTCTATTTAAATTTTACTATTTTATATTTTCTTTTATTTTATATTATTTACTTATATTTTTATTACCTAGTTGTCCATATAGATATGTGCATTTCCCGGGATAAAGCAATAAAATATTGATATAATTTTATAATTTATCTTGTTGCCATCTCTTCCCTTTCCTATGCAGGAAGTCAGGAACTCGTATATTTTTCCTTGCTTATTTGTTTGGTTTCAAGATGCTGAGCCAGGCCACATGTGCTGATAGTTCCTTATTAGCAATTCATCCTTCTCTGCTTAGCTCTCTACCCTGGGAGGATGCCCATACAAACTCCATCACATGAGTTCCCTTGCCGGTGAGATTTTGGTGGGAGTCCACTGATGAAAGCAATAGGAGAAGGAGAGAAGAAGGGGTATTATCCTGCTCTCTCCCTGCTGGGGCTGCATTGTCTGGCAGTGGTTACATCCCTTCACAGCAACCGGTTCCATTGGGTGGCGTTTCCTCCACTGTCTCAACTGTCATTCAGGCACTGGTATCACTATTTGATCCCTCTGCCCCAACAAGCCTAGGCATATTACCGCTCCACTGTGGCTAGACCCTGACTACCTGAACATCCCTTCTTGGTTCATTTAATCCTGCCCACTCTCTTTAAATAGATCCTTTGTTAAGTGCCTTTTTTTCATAAAGGGTCTCTGTTTCCTTCAGGGAAATGTACTTATCAGCTGTTGGTAGGTAATAAAATATAGGATAGAGTGAAAGTTATCATGACAGCAATAGGTGCATATTATTGCTCTAATACTTTATTTGTTTGGTGTGCTGATTAGATCAGGATTGGTTCCATTGAAATAAATGAAGTTCATTTCTCCTAAAAGCTTACAGCAGTTGGAAAATATCATTTCTCAAATATCCTAACAAAAATGAAAGTAATTTCTCCAAAAAACTTTTAAAAATTAAACTTTTTGATGTAGTTTGATTGGGAGTTGTAACTTGGATAGTGGTGTTGGGCAGTGTGGTGGAGGGAAGGTTAGTTGTAATTTGAGTAGTAGCTGTGGTAGATGCTGCGGTGGTGGTTGCTATTGATGTGGTGGTGGATTCTGTGGAAGTGGTGGTGGTTGCTGGGGTGGTGGGTGCTGTGGTGGTGGGTTCAGTGCCAATAATGGTTGCTGTTGTAGTGGTAGGTTCAGTGGAAGTGAGGGTGGTTGCTGTTGTGGTGGGTTCTGTGGAAGTGGGGGTGGTTGCTATTGTGGTGGTGGGTTC